GACTCAGCCTCCCCAGGGCTGGGATCACAGGTCTGCACCAGCGCAACCAGCTGGACCAGTCTCCTACTGCCTGGGAACCCAGGCTTGGCACGTGAAAGCGCTGTTGCACATAGGTGACCAGAGGCGTCCTCCCCTTGTCCCGTCCGTCCACTGGCAGCTCTCTCTCCGCCACCTGCTCCTCTCACCTGTACAGCTCTGCAGACTTAGTGCCCCTCCTGCCCTGGTCGCCCCAGCCTTTTCCTCTCTTGCTGCCACGAGTCCCTTGGCCGCTGCCTGGATGCAGCAGGGGGGACTCTCACCTGTCACCTACACCCGTCACCCTTCACCTGTCCTCGGTCCTGCAGCCCCAACCCCACCGCCTCGGGAGGACCCTGCGCCCCTTACCTGCCCAGGCTCCCTGCGCCCGGAGCCAACGGTTGCCGCGGCGGACCTGGGGCAGCAGGTACAGGTACACTGCGCGGGCCACCCCCCAAGTCGCCCGCAGCAGCAGCCAGGAGGCGGTGATGGCCCCCAGCGTGCTCAGCGCATCCCACCTGGACTCCATCGCAGCTCCTGCCCCGCAGCCTGGGACCCGCACGGAAAGCAGATGGCTGGCAGCGGGAGTAAATGCTGCTCCACTTGTTCTCTGCAGCCTCCCTAAAGCCGGCCATGCCCGGCCACGCCCAGGGGCCAAAGTCCACCCACCCCTAGCTCCGCCCCTTGAGCAGTGGTCTGAGCGGGGCAGGACTTGGGCGCGGAGGGTTTCTGGGGGTTTCTGGGGCTGTTTGCTTCTGTCCCCCAATCAGCCTACCTGCTGTGAGGCCCTAATTTGTTGTATTGTTATTTCTTGGTTTGGGGTTTTGTTGACACAGTGTAGTTCAGGCTCGCTGTCTTAGTTACTTTGCTCATTGCTGAGGCAAAATACCAGACACCCAGAGTTAAAGGAACAAAGGTGAATTTTGCTCACGGTCCCTGATTGGCACGGTGGCGTGGCAGAGGGGCATCTCAGAGAAGAAACAGTTCATGGTGGGCAGAAGACAGCGAAAGACAAGCAGCAGCCATAAGCAACAAGAGACAGGCGACCCTCTTGCTGTCCCTTGTATCTTATCCAGGCCTCCTACCCTTAGGGTGGTAGCACTCACACCCACGGTGGGCACCTCTAATCCTAGCCAGATCTGTGCCAAACCAGCCAGTGGACTAATGTAATACTCACACACTCTGAATCCCGGCATCACACACTCGATCCAGCCACTTCTGAAAAGCCCCACCTGTGACTGCATGAGGGTTTGGGGTGGGGATATCCAGGCCAAGCTGTAACACTGGCCTTGAACTCATTATGCAGCCCAGGCTGGCTCCAAACTCACAGCCATCCTCCTTCCTCAGCCTCCCAAGTGCTGGGATTACAGATGACCACTCCTGGCCAGATCTTCACTTTCTTACACCATCCTTCAGAGTGGCCTTTGAATCACGAATGCTGCCCCTCTGCACCCACTTTGGGGACACCTCTTGCGGTCATAGTGAAAATTTATGCTGAGGCCTAGAAAGGAACTCTGGGTCTCCCTGAGAAGGTTTACTGGACTGAGCTGCTAGTGGAGTGAGAAGATCCTATTGGTCAGAGGTCAGAGGACAGAGCCCTTGATTTGGAAAACCTTCCATACGTGAAAAGATTTGACAGAGCTCTCATCCTAAACAACAGTCTCCTTGGTACAATGGGAAGACTGTCTAGGAAGAGCACACACCCTACAGAGGGAGAGAGGAAGGTGGCATGTGCGGTGGTACAGGGCTGTGATCCCAGCTAGCCGGGAGGCTGTGGCAGGAGGATGATAAGTTAAAGTCCACCCTGGGGAATTTAGTGAGGTCCTGTGTCAAAATGAAATTGTAAAGGGCTGAGGACATAGCTTCTCACTCCCTGTGTTCAATCCCTAGCACTGTGAAAACAAATTTAAAAATAAGAAAGAAGGGCACAGACATGTATATAACCAGCCATAGGGACAACCTGCCTTTCAGGCTCAAGGTCCTTAGTTTGCATCCTGTTACCAAAAAAAACCAACAACAACCAACCAAACAAAACAGAAATCAGGACCAGAAAAGATCTGATATTCAGTGTGAAGAACAAATAAATGAAAGGTATGGCTCAGCCCTGAGTGTCGGCCTAGCAATCCGAGCATGGGTTCCACCCCAGCACCACCCATGGGTGAAGATGTTGAGACCATCAGTGCTTGCTGCCGAGTCTACAAAACCAGCAGCCAGTGAGCCCAGCCCCCTCTGCAAATATGGAGCCTGCCCGCTGGGTGCCTCGAGATGTTCACAGGTGATGAGGAAGGCCAGAATGTTGGGAGCTTGTCCTGTATGAAAAAAGAGGAGGGGGAGTGTGTAGATCTGTGGGGAGGGAGGAAGGGGAGCTGGGTGTAGCTCAGACCCAAGGCCCTGGGTATGGGGGGGGTCTCTTTTTGGGTGGGGGAGACAAGGTCTCACTATGTAGCTCAGGTTGCCTTTGAACTCACTGTGTAGCTCAGGCTGGCCTCGAACTTGTGGCGATGTCTTGCCTCAGCCTCCTGAGTGCTGGGATTACAGGCGTGCACCACCATGCCGGGCAAGGAACAGGTTTAATTTTTGAAAAGTGAACCCAAGATGTAGGGCCTTGTGGCTTGACAGCTGTGGGAGTGCTTAAAAGAACTTGGTATGGGCCCTTCCATTTAGGCAGGAGCTGATCTAAAGGTGACTCCATCTTCCAAACCTTAAGTAACACACAATCCTCAGGTTGAATTTCAGGGCCCTGAATTGCAGATCCTCATGCTGGAAGGACTTTATGCCCATATTCTAGTAAAGCTCTCTCTATCTGAACTAGATTGACACTGTGTTTTACCATTTTCTGTGTCTTAGGGTCAGTGGCTAGATCCACAGCTAGATGTGGCCTGTCAGACCATTTCCTAAGGGCTTAGCTGGAGAGAGGCTTTAGGAGCAATTTTAAGCCTTAGTAAAGCAATAGGTAACAGTTTTAGCTAAGGCTCTGAGGTTTCTTGGCATAGTTTTCTCAGGGTGGTTTGAACACCTACGTTGGCCCTTTCAACCTTTCCTGACATGCCACCATGGCTAGCTCTAGGCCCTGTGTCTGAAGGTCCCACCACCTGGGGACCAAGCTCCCAGCTCTTGAACCAGGAAAGAATCGCTTCCGGACCATACACCCTCCATCCAGAGCTCCCGACTCAGCCAGCCTCACCTCTATTTCTCAGTGTGCTTTCTTTTATTCTGAGATGGGGTCTTGCTGTGTTGCCTCAGCTGGCTTTGAACTCAGGGCTCAAGTGATTCTCCTGCCTCAGCCTCCCAGGTAGCTGAGACAACAGGCACTGCCACCCAGTCTGGCTTTCTTTTTGATGCATTTATGTCACACTCCACAATTGCTCTTTGCTGTAACAGTCGGGAGAAGGTAATTAATGTGAACTCCCATAACCTGGCACACCCTGGAGTTTCCCTGGAAATGTGCCCAGGTCCTGAACGCAGACTTCCACTCTGCAGCCTTCCCCACGGAGGATTGGACTCCAGCCTCATCTGCAAGCAGACTGCACCCCCAGGCATCGCTCCAAGGCCCTCAGCCTCCTGATCTCAACCTCAATGGCTACAAACAGCTGCTGCCTTAAAACAGGAACTGTCTCAGGCCCCTCCAAAGCCCACTTTAAAAAGCCCAGTCTCTAGGAGGATGAGCCGGGAGGATTGCAAACTTGAGCCCACCCCGGGCAACTTTGTGACTTAGTAAGATCCTGCCTCAAAAGAAAAAAGAGGCTGGAGATGCAGCTCAGTGCAAAGGCCCTGCATTCAATCCCAGTTCCACATCTGGAATGCTTTGACAGGTGTCATCGATAAATTAGTCCCTTTGGAAATTCTATTCAGCTGCCAGTGCCCAGAGACTTTTGTCGTCTGCCCCTGGCCTGAGTGAATGGCGTGCCGACGTGAGTGAGCCGGTGAGAATACGTGCACGGGGTACATCAGCAGCAGCCAAAGGAAGCAGGGCCTCAAGCCTATAATCCCAGCTGCTCCAGAGGATGAGGCACAAGAGTCATAACTTCAAGGCTGGCCTGGGCAACTTAGTGACTGAGTGAGATCCTGTCTGTAAATAAACAGATACAGAAGAGAGACCCCTGGAATCACAGGAGCTGTACCACCTCTGGAGCCCCAGACACCAGCCCACAGGTGACCTCAAGCCTGTCTCAGGACCCCAGCACAGATAACGCCGTGAAGCAGACGGACTTTCCCTAGGGTCTCAGGTCAAAACTCATCTCCACCTTCCTTCTTTTTTTTTTTTTTTACTTTTAAACTATTTTTAATAAACATATTTGTAAGCACTTTTTGTAGAAGAATATGATGGAAACGATTTTCTTCAGATCCACACAAGCTCTTACATTATAAAGTATGATATCAATGTCCATTTACACTGATATCAATGTAAATGTGTTGAATACTTACAATGTACCAATAAAAGAATTTTTAAAAAACCAAAAGCTATCTAACATTCTTTAACCTTTTCACTCAGATTTTAGGATTGAGGGCATCTGACTCTGGACATTGACATCTCCACCTACTTCCTCCTCGGCCTCCACTCTTGAACTCCTTCTCCTGACAGAGGGGCAAGGGCAAACTCCTGGCACCTTTCACATGGAAACTTCCCTTTTCTCCCATCACTGAAGGGCTGATTGCAAACTGTGTGTCTCCATCTGTCCTATTCTTTCTGATCTTCCACCATGGACTCACTTTTTGTTTGTTTGTTTGCTTTTGAGACAGCATCCTGCTGTGTACCCCCAGAATGGCCTTGAACTCAAGATCCTCCTGCCTCGGGCTGCTGAGTGCTGGGATTACGGGTGTGTCCCCCAGGTCTGGCTTGGCCTAGCTTTCCACCCTGGTGACCAGTGTGGTGAGAACTGCTGCATCCCAATGGCCCTCACATCCGTGTGGTCTCTTTCAAGCTGTATCTTCTATTAACCTTTCTCGATACCCCTTCTCCAGTAGTAGGGGTTGAACCCCGGGGGTGCTCTACACTGAGCTGCAGCCCCAGCCCTTCTTTTTTTTTTATAACTTTATTATCAAACACATACACACATACAAAAATTCAAACCATTCAAAGAAGAACAATGCAAGGGAAAAAACTACAACAATATTCAAATACAGTAGAACTCAAGCAAAACAAAACTAAAAAGTACTTGAACATTTTTCCGTATAACTTTAAAAAAATCTCAAGCACCAATAAGACACCAGAGGATGTGATTTTGATAGGGAAATGTTTTAAAGTAAGACTAGTAGATTAGCTATTAAAGCAGTTATGAAAGCAAAACAGGTAATGTATCCCTTTAAAAGCTTGCCTTAGCCCGTTGCTTCTGTTGTCTTAAAGTGAAGGTTATGTAGCTCCTTTGATCTGCAGCTCCACTATAGACAACATCCTGGCTCTGAAGAACAAAATGGGAATCCGTGAACAAACTTGTGATGTATATGCCTTAACTATCATGTGTTTAGGACTGTAATCAGTGACAGAAACCACCTGTGTCTAACCATTAAACAGGAATTGGAACTTTATTCACTTAACAAAGACCAATAGGGATGAGATAATGACTGACAAAAGTATAAAAGGTGATGGACAAAGAACGCAGGGTGGAGACTCTGACCAGACCAGTTTCTGGCGTCCCGCCTTGCTAGCAAGTAAAGACCTTTGTTATTTTACCCGAATTCTGAGTCTCTGTGTGTTTCTTTCCGTGATTCCGGAACAATTTGTTTCAGAAAGTTCCCCAAACCAACAATGAACAAATAGCGGTCTGGAAAAAAACTCCAGTTAGCTAGCAGACTCCACATAAGCCAAGCTTCTCCCTAATTTAAATTTTGATACAGTCGTATGACATGCGATGGAAACACAATCCGAGAAATATGTTATTAGGCAATTTCATCCATATGTATCCTTAATTACACTTTCAGTTTCTCACACTAGAGAAACTATTTGGTATTTACACATGTGTGTCCTATTTATTT